TTACAAGTATAGACAGGCAGCACTGTCTTCATCTAAAGATCAACCCTTGATCACTGCAATTCATGAGAAACTAAACCTCATGTTATCTTGAGAAATATTGAAAATGTAACACTATTGTCATCTCAAAGCTTACCAGCTCCTTTTTAGAAAGGGGGTGATCAAGCATTATATCAAAACACAATTAAATGCAAATGGGGTGGGGGAAGAAGGGAAGCGGGGGCTTGGTAAACTCTCATCTAAGGTGCAGGAAGTAAAGGTGTACCGCACACCCCTTTGGGTAAAGGGCTCAAATACAACTTGAACTTTACCAAAGAAATGCAAATAATGTAGCCTAATCATTTGCACCCTCGTGTTAATCTGAAAGTTTAAAAAAGATGTGTCTGGTATCTATTTCCTTCACTTGGAATGGAGAAGACGACCTTTTCCAGGGAAGAAAAAATGTTTTAAAGGCAGTCAGTTGGAAGGAAAGAGGTCTAAGTACCCTGGATAATCCACGAACTGGCCAGTTCGTCTGCAAATGCATCAAGAAGTGGAGTTTTGCATTAAGGAATCAGTAAGTGTCATTTCCAACTTGTGATGTCTGCAAATATTGGATTCTATCCAAGTTGGATTTTAAAAGCAGATAAAAATAAAGCCGGCGTCCTAAGGGAATGTCACCTATCCCGAATCACTTCTGAATTTCAGTAGCAAAATATGCTGTTGATGTGGACCCAGCAACTTGCCCATCTCCCTGCATTAGTAAGACACTGACTAGCAAAATTTCTGCGATTATGCGGGGAAAACAGCAGTCAAGAAAAGAAAGAACATGTTTATGTTGCAAAGTTTAACATCACATCAGCTTTTCTGAAATACTTTGGAACCTAAAACAAGCCAGCATACAAAATGCATTTTGTAGCATTTAAGTGTAGGTTAATATATTCCATGTGCCCTCTTGTATTTTGAAATAGCCCAAGAAATAAATTCTTTAAATGTACTTGTAAAAAACAAATCCCTTCATGAAATTTTTTAAAATACAAACACGAATTAATTTAGCTCTATAACATTTAAGAGAGAATGTTTCTGTCTTTTCCAACCTCAGTTACCAGAAACGCACCATGCCACTTGTGACGAACCCTTCATTTTCATGGGATAAGTCAAATCTAATTTTGTGGAAAGGAGAAATTATGGAGGAAGGAGAAGCTAAGGCTTCAGTATAGAAAAGGCTATGGCAGGAAACACTTGCCACAGCATGCCCCCTACCCTCAGGCCACCAGAAACACCAAGTCCATGTTTGGAGTCTTGCTGTTTTTAGAGTGTTTTCTCTAGAAGTCTGTATAAATCCATTGTTAAAATAGGACTCGACATATAAACAGAATAAAGGAGATACAAGATTAAGTCATTACATATCAGGCTCAAGAAATTCCAGGAGACCACAATAAAGTTATGATGTGTCTATTCACTTTTCAGTAATTCAGCTTGAAAAGAGGCTTACAAACATTACAAACATAAACGTCACCAACTCGTTTACCATATAAATAAATCATGAGGGGTTTCAAGAGAGACACAGACAGTAGGGGTTAACAGTCACCAGTAATGATTATATTCTGAAGTGGGGCTGAGGGAGCCAACAAATCTTAATACTGTTACATATAGACAAAACATGAGTCGTCAATCAGCTTCAAAACGTTGGCAGGTGTCTCCCCTCTAAAGCGATAGCCACAGAGAAAACACACTACTGAGAAGGACTAATTGAAAAACTTTCTGCAGCCGGGCCCCATTTGTGATTAGCAAATGCATTTTTATTTTATGGTTTAGTTTTCAAAATAAGTGGAAGAAGATGTGGTAGGTGACCAGCGTTGTTCATGATGGTTCTCCCGGACAGAGTTTTGTCCAAAAGTAGAGAGGGTTGACATGCTATTTTCTCAATCCTCTGGCTATATTTCAAAGTAAAAATAGAGAGTTAAATGATATATTTGCTCTCTATTCCAGACTGGAGGCAATTGATTTTAACTGACTAAATGATCTGATCTCTGCCAAGACTTTTATTTCATTAAGAAAATGATATTATAGAGCATCTGAGATCATACAGCAGACTAAGTATAATGCTCAAGGAGTTCTGAGAATGCTCCACAGTGAAGGTTTGATTATTTGCAGATGGAATATAAAGAAAAAAGAAAAAAAGAATCAGGTCCCAAGGGTAAGCCTAACCAGTCCTGGTACCACTGCTGCCTACATCATAGCACAAAGCCAAGAAAATAAGTAATCTCTGAAGCCACAACACCTTTTATTAAAGTACCAATCACTTTTCTTGCTTGAAAATATTTAACTGCCACTATCCCAAACAAAGAGGAAAAGGGGAAATGTTGGCACCACAATAGGCTCTAGCATGTCAGCTGTCGCTGCTGACATGATTTAGCTAGTGGTGGAGCGTTCACCAAGGAACTAATTTAAATCAATCTTTTTTGGGGGAAGGCCAATTGTTTGGTATGCACGACAATTGGTGCTGGATCAATCACTGGACATGAGATCAATTAAAACCAGCTTAAGTTTGTGAAGAGGGACAATTCACACAACTTGAGTTAGATCTCTCTTCATGTCAGTCCTCCCACAATACAATCCTTAAGCTTCCTTGCAAAGTAGAAAAGCTACTATCACCCTATACTGTCTGGCCAGCCCTTTAAGTAGTTCCACTTTTAATTAAAAACACAGTACACCCTTTGTTAGCACAGATAGTGTGGTCACTTTTAAGGACCACAGTTGTTTTAGCCAGAAACTTGGGCTTGGGGTAGGAAAATCTGTTGAGAAAAAAAAAAAAAACTTTGATAGAATTTTTTATGCTCTTTCCAATTTACGTGTACTTGAAAACATTTGAATTTTATTAAATTAAAGGGTTGGTTTAGCAAAAGTTACGACTGCACACTTCAGAGTTGAGTCTCTACATCTCACCGCTGGTGGCGGTGGATGATAATCATTATAGGAGACTTTACTAAAGCAAGGTTTGAAATAAATAGGTTGTCTGAGATCCTTAGGAGGGTGTGGGCAGAACCCTGAGCGATGGCACTGCAGTATCGTTTCTGGCCGCAGGAGTGCTGTAATGTCATTCTCCAAACAGCATCTCCGCATTAAGTTCTACTGAAACAATATGCTTGATTCTTTCCCACTCAACCACAATGGAACAGGCAGTGTGGATCCGAAAGCGATCACTTGAATTAGCAAGTCATCCAATAAACAAGAATTCGGCAGTGGGTTTTAGACATTTCTATATTTTGCAAACTTTGAGTACTTCAGTGTTTTCAACTAAATAGACTGCAGTTCTGCTTACAAGAGAAGGAGAAGCCTCTCCAAACACTTTTGACCACAGTGTAATCAAAAATTGCCGGCTCTGCCGAAGAGTACCTCGAAAGAAAATACCAGGGTGGAAAAGGAGCCCTGGGGAGAGGCGGGGAGGAAAGATGAAAAGAGACTCTTCCAAGACAAGTATGGATCGCATACTCTCATGGCCTCTGGGAAGAAATTTCTCCCCAGTATTTTGTTGTGTGTTTGTAGAGTAATTTCTGAAAAGCAGCAACATTTTCCAAATGTCATGAACGAGAGGGGGAGGGGCATGGGGGGTCCTTCTTACAAACCGCAGCGCAGGAACATACACAGCTACCTTCCGAGAGCAGAGACTGCAGAAGCCGCACGCCAGGAGGTATGAGCGCTGCCCTCAGGCGGGCCAACCTCTAGCTCTACCTGGAGCCGAGCACAGCATTGACCGACGCCCCTAAAGCCCTGAAAAACTAAGACTCAAAAACCCCTCTCCAAAGTCTTGGTGTAGGACCGGAGATTACATAAAATGAGTTATAAAGGAATCACATCACAGGTCGAGTGAGATGTTTATAAGGGGGCAGAGTGGGGAGAATCAAGATCTATGCATCTTGCAACAAATTCTAACTGCGCAAAAGTTTCAGCTGCTGGCCGAAGACAGCTCTCTCCAGGTCCTGCTAGAAGCCGCGCACCTTCCCTGCGCTGGTAATTCAATGCGCGTGTGCTTGTGAGTGGTTTGCCTGTAAATCCCCCAGACCACCTAAACTGTACCATTTTAGGGAGCACTTTCCCTAAAATGCAGCTGGGTTAGGTGCAGCCCCAGCAGGGCTCATAGGCAGAAATACACACACACACACACACACACACATCTGTGAGAAACTAGTTCTCTGCAACCGTCCTGGAGGCTTCCACTCGCCTTTTCTGCTGCGCACAAAGTGAGCAGAGGAGGAGCGGTCAGAAAGCCGCAAGTGAATTTCATTGAGCACAGAATTCTTTATCCGAAATAGCTGCTTTTGAGGGAAGCAAATGGAAACAGCAAAGTGGGGAATGTTTTAAAAACATCACTCCGCAGGAGAGCACTCCCCCTGGAAACCTGCTTCTGAGTTGCTACTCATTCAGAAAGTTCCCGTCTCCTCTCAGGTACCAGAAAGAGATCAGTGTTGCCCTTTTCCTGGAAAGGCAGGTCCTGCCCGTGGACTTAGTACGCCTTCCCAGCTCCCAAACACACACACACACACACACATACACACACGCACACGACGTTAGGCTGTGTCCAAAATGATCTGAGGCTGGGATTTGGGGCGCACGTGGGTGGGAAAGGTAAAGACAGATCAGCTAGAAGGGCGATGGTCAAGAGGACAAAAGAGAAAGAAGAACAAGAAAATGGATGCTGGATAAGAATTGCGACCTAGAGAAGAGTTCAGGAGAGTCGGCGCGGCGAGGAATGCGGGTGCTGACCGCACGACGTGGCCCCGAGCGCCAGCTAGACGCCGGACTCTCAGGTCTCCCAGCGTGTCTCGCTCGGGCTTCGCCAGCCTACTGGGGACTGAGCGTCCAGTAGTGTTCCCGGGACCCTAAAAGTAAAGAGTGGTGGACCCCCGGAGCTGCGGTGGAAAGCACATCCGGCCTACCTGCGCACCCGGAACGAGGGCGCGAGTGAGCACCTCGAGCACACCCTCCCCGGACCCCCGCACCTTTAGCCGAGAGGGACCCACCTCGCTTACTACGTCTCCATCGGTTGCCTTGGCAGTGGCTGTAATCCATACAGTTCAGAATGATGAGGGCAAAGGAGAAAAGGCGAAACTGCATCTGGGCGGTCGGGCGGGAGAGAGACGCCTCTCAAATTCGGGGAACTGAAGGGCTCACCCAAGGAGCCCGCGCCGGCCGCGCTGCTGGGGAGGACCCGGGGGAGTCGCCACTAGCCCCGGACCGCACCGGTCAGTTCGCTACAATCAGCATCTCTGTGCCGTGAACCTGAGAGATGAGGAGAGAGAAACAGGGTGGGAGGTGGGTGGAGAGAGTCCAGGAGAGGCAGCTGCGCCTTCGCGCATCCCAATTTAAAGGAGGGAGGGAAGGGGGAGCGAGCCCACTGCCTGGCACGAGCTGCGGAACAGCCTAATCCCGCGCGCGCAGCTGCGGACTCGGAGAGGAAGGTGATTACAATCAGTGAATTAGCAACCTCTGCCGAGCTACAGGCGCCCAAGGAAAGAACCAAGGATCGATGTGTGGGCGCTCCGGAAAAGCAAAGAGCTCCAAAGGCACTGAAAGCGCTGGGTTAAAAGAGCGCTCTTGGGGTCTTAGGGCCCCCGGCGGGGTGCCCAAGCCGCCCGGGTGCGGCTGCCGTGTTGCGGGTCGCCTACCGTGGGCACGTAGGACTCAGGCGGCGCGGCGCTCCATCCCGGGCTCGGCACGCGAGCCGCTTGGTTAGCACGTGGGCTGGGGAAAAGTTTGCCGATACCGGCCGGGAGCTCCAAGGAGCTCTGGGATTCTGGTGGCTGCTGCGGAGACCGCGGGCGCTGAGGGTCTTTCCGGCCAGCGGGGCCAGGCAGGAGCGCCGGGGAGAGGGACCGTCTGTAGTCACTGGGATGCTCTGTCCCCGCCGCGAGTGAGATCCCGGGCGAGGGGTGCGCCTGCCCCGACTCTGCGCCGGGTGCAGTTGTGCCGCTGCTTCGGTTCTCTACACGTTCGCGTCACAGCTGAAGGTTTCTCGCTTTCCAAGCTGTAGAAGACCGCAGGCTCCGGGGAGGCCGAAGTGATCGGAAGGGATGTGGAGAGCGCACTTTCCGAGGGAGATGCAAACCAGCGGGGCTCGGGATGCTTCTATAAGTAGGTGGTGCTGTGGTCCAAGGCATCGAAGTCCAGGCTGCCTGGGAGTTCCTGGGTCCTAAAGCCAGAAGTGCCCGCGTTTCCCTGAGGTCCTAAAGAACGCTGACAGCCTACGGTGAGCCCAACTCCAGACAAATCCCCTCCGGGGTTTCCAAGAGAGTGTGACTAAGCTGAAGAGTAGCCTGGGTCAGGGGCGCCCCTGAACCCCGCTGTTCACCCCAAGGCGTCCTCTCTGGAGCTCCCGGGTCGATTCCAACCTTGACAACAACCTTCCTGCAGGGGGATGTGACTGAAGCTCTCGGGCCTTTTCCTAAACCCTCTTTCCTGGCCGGGACTGCTGGTCCTGACAAGCACTGTTGGAGCGTGAGCGCTATGCCTCACCTCTGCCGCTTGTTAATTTACATCAGTTTGAGGAGATGGCTGTTTCCAAATAGCATTTGTTTATTCTCCCTCAGAACTGTTATTTCTTGACTTTGTTTATCCTCTAGGAAAACTTGTAAACCCCCTGCAATCCCGTGCCTGCAGTACTCAAGAAACTGGGACCGTGATTCTTTAAAGAAAATTTTACTTTCCGCTAAAGTTTATTATTATTATCATCATTATTATTATTAAGCCTCCTCCTTCCTCTTCCCAATTCCAGAGTCTCTGAATTAAAGTTTTAGATGCCTTGAGTTTGGGGAAGTACTCCGTTTAACAAAATGTCCCATTTAACACACAGGGTGCTACCCGACTTCTTGCTGGTGAAATCTTCTGCCTTGCACCCAGAACTCTGGAAAAGAGTGTATTTACTCTTAGGCAAAGGATAAGAATTTATACCGCTAACCACGGTGGTTCGGATGACTAGCTCTAGATATGCCTACAGGTACCATGTTATTATGATAGCATTGTATAGTATTTAAATTCCCTTTTTCTATTTCTTCTGTTTCAGGCAATGTTCAGAAATTTGGCATTTGAAGATAATCATGTTCATTAACCATTCCATTATTGCCTATCCACATTTTTTACAGACATCATTATTACACACCAATACCTCTGTGCCGAGAATTTCACTGTTACTCCTTTGATGCATGCCTGAGATCACTCCAGTAAATCTTGAGTTGAGGTCACTGGTCCCATTTATTAGATAAGAAAATCCAGCCTGAGACTGGCCCACAGGGCACGAATACAGTTGACAAACCCCACTGCAGGAACAGGGGATCTGCCTGGCTCAGCTTTCTGAGTCCCTGATGGTTATCACAGAGTTTGGAATCGATTGGAAACGTTTCAGCCTAGGGAGTGACCCTGTCTTTGGCATAATAGCTTGATATTCCTTGATCATCTTGATATGATGCTGAATATGTCTCCAGCATCATAAATAGTACTTCCTCCTGAATATAGGCACACATACATCCAGTAAATGTATTGATCGCGCTTACAGAGGAGCTAAATCCATGTGAGAAAAAGAACGACTTCTCTAAATAAGCCCCCTGCCTTCCTGTACAGCTTCGAGATCCACTCAAGATCAATGGTTATCAGTGTCCTTTAAAATATTTAAAGGCAAAAATAAACACAAGAACAAGCAGCTCTAGCTTTACCATTAATCGTGTGGGTTGCTTTGGGCAATTTTCTGGATCTCAGTTTATTTCTTGGCTGTTTCTGGAAGTTGGACCAACGTCTCTCTCGCCTCTACCATGTACTGGTTTACAATCAGTCCTCTAGTTCATTGGGAAGTTTGTTATAGAGTCTAACCAGGGTGAGGATAAACTCACAGGGATGGATCTTCCATGTGGAAAGAACAGAGCTTGCCACTGTTGTCCTGCGTTCAGCTTACAGGCCACTTCCAACCTTATCCCGTCAAAGATAACTGTCCATGATTTTAATCCTTTGGGTTGCACAGTTGCTTTTTTTTTTTAACCAGAGATACTTTTCAGTTTAGTGAACCCCTAGATTCAGTTCATGAAAAGGAATTTTAAAAGCGCCACTTCTATGGAAAATTGGTCAATGTGTTTAGTAAGACAAAAATAGGCTCTCAGAGGAGAGAAGATTCCTAATTCCCTCTTCTGCTCCCTCCGGTCTGTCTCTGTCTTACAGAGCAGCAGTGACCCTCAAAACTCTGTCACACTTCGTTTTCACACCTAATCGCTTTGGGGACAATTTGTTGATAATGCACAACTTTTTTTTTACATTCACTGAATACTTCTGATTTCAAGATCCCAGGAATGTTCTTGCTACTAAAAAAACACAACCCTCGCGGATCCTAAACTATCATTAACTTTAATCCCATATCTCTGCTTCCTTTCACTTCTAAACTCTGAATGTGGTGTTATTGAGTCTCACAGCTTACAGTTTCTCCCTCTTGGAGACTCGATGGACTTTTTCTTCAAACTGAGTTTTTATAGCGGTTTCATTAAGCTGGCTTTGTTAATAGACTTGTTTACAGAGGAGCATACCAAGGGGGTGGACTCCGTACCACTCAGTGCTGATAGGGAAGGTCTGGGGGGTGATGTTATACAGCTGAGAGGCAACATTAGCATTTTACTTTTATAACTTGCAGTTCATTCATTCCGCTCAAAATTCAATCATTACAAAGGGCATACGGGGAAAATGCAACCTCTCTCCCCAAGTAGCCAGTTCTCCTCCTTAGAGATAATCAACTATTATTGTATAATTTTCTAGGTCTTGAGTATACAAAGATATTTTATGCTTATCAAGCAAGTAATTTGGTAAGTTTTTTGCTTATCAAGCATAGAGAAAGGGAAGAATATATTGGTATATATAACATATTCTTTCATATATATCTACTTTCTCTCTTTTTTGCAATTAATACTGTATTTACTAATCTGCACCTTGACTTTGTATTATGTGTCTTAGAGTTCATGTGGCATCAGTTCCTAGAGAACTTTCCTCTTTTTTTTTTATACAATCACATCTCAATTCATTGTGTGGTTCTATTAAGCCAGTCCCTTACTGATGTTTAGATTGTTTTCATTTTTTCTCTCATAAGCAATGCTTCATTTAACTTTTTCATGGGCCATTTTACCTCTGCATTATAAATTTTAAAAGTGAAAAAATGGAACACATAGTTGGGGAGTATGTGTGTGTGGCTTTATCAATTTTTTGTTTGTTTTTGGGGGGGCAGAGTGTCACTTTGTTGCCCTCAGTAGAATGCTGTGACGTCACAGCTCACAGCAACCTCCAACTCCTGGGCTTAAGCAATTCTCTTGCCTCAGCCTCCCGAGTAGCTGGGATGACAGGCGCCTGCCACAAGGCCCAGGTATTTTTTGTTGCAGTTATTGTTGTTTAGTTGGCCAGGGCTGGGTTTGAACCCTGGGTACATGTGGCTGGTGCCATAACCTCTTTGCTACAGGCACCAAGCCTGTTTTATCATATTATGATGTATGAAAATGCCTGCCTCCATAGATACCAGCGGACACTTTTTGATGTTTTGATACTCATGGGCAAAAAGTAATATCTCTGTATTAATCTGTATTTTCTTTTCCATGAACTCTCTGAAGATATAACTTGTCTCTTTTTCTATTGTGTTGTTGGCGATTCACTTTTGTTTTACAGACTATACATGGATCAATATATATTATCTTTTGTGATTTGAGTTGTAAATATTTTTTCAAGTTTCCCATTTGTCTTTTTACACTTTGATGTATATTAATATATCAAAAATATTTAAATAGCTTTATGTAGTACAATTTGCCAGTCTTGTCTGTTATAGCGTCTCAGTGTTATCCATGAAAAATCTTTTCCCCATGCCTTTTTTAAAAAATTTTCATTTGGGAGTTTTCTAATACAATTTTTCTCGTGGGGGGGGGGACTTAAACAACATTTATTTTCTCACAGGCTCCAGGTCCACGATCAAGGGCTATCTGGGTTGGTTTCTGGTGAGGGCTCTCTTCCTGGTTTGTAGACAGATGCCTTTTTGCTTTGTCTAATATATATTTTTTTGGTGTTAACAATCATGGTATAATAGCGATGTTAGGAACGTACCGTGG